TTGGCAGAGAGGGGGCACTGGCCAGAGCGGTGGCCATCCCTATCGTGGCCTAGGTGCCACCTGCTCGCCTATGAATACCTGTCCACAGTGGCACTAGGAGGACATGAAGGAAGGAAGGAAGGAAGGAAGGAAGGAAGGAAGAAAGGAAGGAAGAAAAGAAGGAAGGAAGGAAGGAAGAAAGGAAGGAAGGCATGATGTGAATATGCTTCCCCGCCCGCAGGCAGAGTCCCAGCGCTCTGGCCGAAAAAGGCGCTCAGGGCTCACGTGACGGGGTCAGCGTGAACGGCGGTCAGCCAACCGGTGTCCTGAGAAGCTGTTCCGTGTTCCCCGCCGGCCTCCTGCCTACCCTCCCCGTCCTGACGGTCAGGAAGTTGTGCTTGGCGTGTCGCGCCGCCGGTGCTGGCACATTGCGCTAAGGCGCGACATGCTGTCCACGTCGCGGCCCCCAGGCGTCAGCGTTCCGAGCTTCCCCCAGCCTCCAAGCCCACGGAGCGGAGCGACACGCCATCCGCTCGCAAGGCATCGCGTGTCGCCAGGGCCGCCGCCGCGACACGATTCACCTAAAGTGTCTGATCGTGCCCCGCTCCCCGCCTCCTGCGCCCCAGCTTCCCCCATCCCCCTCGTGCCCTCGTTCCACTTCCAGCCTCGTTGCCGTGCCCCCTCGTGCACCTCCCACAGCCGGGCCTGATCGGCAGTCCAGCTTTGCAAGATACAGTCGGGGCCCTGAAGAAGGAACCCTTTTCGTTGGGGAGGGGCTCCGTGTTCCTTAAGTGTTTCACAGCTTGCCTCAGGTTTTCCTTATGTCTTCGATCGGAAATCGAAGTTTAACTTGTGGAAAAAAAGGGGCCTCGTTCCTTATTTAGGGTTCCTTAGGTCAACGCCCCGTCTGTATATCAGGAGTGCCCTCGTGCCCTTCCCTGTGCCCGAAGCACGGGCTGCTGCGCACCGAGAAGAGACCTGTGCCTTGGGCCCTCCTGGGGTGCCCCCTGCGGCCAGTACCGACTGTACCTCCGGCCTTTCCCCCCCCGCCTCTCAGAGGAGGGAGAAGCTTAGGATGCAACAATTCCTGGGAAGTTAAATCCCTGACGCTTCGCGTATCCCCACCAGCCAGCCTTGTTCGCTGCCCCGGACATTTGCTTTCGCCGCGTGTGCTCTTCGCTCGCGGCCGCGACCAAAAAAGTATCCCCACCAGCCCGGCCAGAAACAATCGCCAGGCGAGTTGCCTTGATGAAGGATGTGCACAGCAGCATGCAATCCAGGATTTGAGCCACACCCGTCTTCGCGGATCTGCCCGACGGAGAAGGAGGAACTGCAGGAGGAAGAGGAGAGAGGAGGGAGGGGGATGCAGAGGAAAAGGCAGAGGAGGAGAAGGAGGAGGAGGAGGAGGAGGAGGAGTCTGGAGCAAGCAGGAGGCGCATTGGTGATCCGCGCGGGTCACCAGCGCGAGGGCAGCTGTGGCAAGCGAGGAAGTACAGGAGGACGGGGAGGCCGACCTCCTCTCCTCGTACCTCCTCGCTTTCCAGGGCGCCGGCGCTCCGGCGGCCCGCGCGAAGCTCTGATGCATGTCTTGCCTCCACCTACCCCCCCAGCCTCCTCCTTCTTGTCGAGGAACAAACAGGGGCTCGCGCGGGGTTCTTGGATCGGCAACGGACCCCCCTTCCTGGCGCGCGGAGCGCGCGAGGGGCGGCGCTGGAGGCGCCGCCATGAGCTCCAGCGCCGATCCGAGAAATCCGAGTGGACATCCGAGTTTTCATATGTATGTCATCGTTTGTTCCCCGAGCCTTTTCCTTCCCTTCCCGACTGTCGGTCTCCTGCGCCCGCCTCGCATGGTTTTCGGAGATCTCCAAACGTCTCCGGGGACAGTGGAGATTCAAAGGAGCTGTCGGCGATCCCCGCTGCCATCCGAAGCCCCGAGCCGGGCCAGGCACGCCGAAAGCGCTCATGAAAGTTCTGCTGCTGCTGCTGCTGCTGCTGCTCCTCCTCCTCCTCCTCCTCCTCCTCCTCCTCCTCCTCCTCCTCCTCCTCCTCCTCCTCCATCCCTTGTCCTCACGAGTGCTTCCCCCCTACCGCACCCCGCGACATATCGGCAGGCCGGGCCAGGTGTCTTGCATGAAACTCCGTCCCTCCACGCGTGATGCTAGGGCTGAAGCCTTGCCACCGCTTTTCGGAGGGGGGGCGGGCCGTTCTCCAAGGAGAGCCCTCGCCCCAGCGCCGCGCGCATTCTGTTTTTCAACACTTGCAACAACAGGTCGCGGACCAGAGGGCGGGTTGGTTTCACAATGTGGCTCTCGCCTCAGCGACGCGCACATGCGTCTCAACAGTTTTTGCAATAGTTTCACGGATAGAGGGCGGGGGATTTTCAGATTGCGGCTCACTCCTCAGTGCTTTGCACATTCGTTTCAAAAGTTGCGAAGAGCTTCGCGGATGGAGGGCGGGTAGTTTTCAACATGTGCTTCTCGCTCTAGCGCCGTTCACATTTGTCTTTAAAGTTCGCAGGAGTTCCATTCGTCGAGGACGGGTCGTTTTCAGAATGCGGTTCTCGTCTTAGCGCCGCGCACATTCGTTTTTCAAAGAAAGAGTTCTCTCAATAAGAAAGGTTGCCATCTCAGGAATGGTGTTCTGGCACGGCTAAGGATTGTCAGGGCGCAACAGTCACGTTGATTCCCAGTGTTGAAATCTCAGGAATAGTTTTCTCGAGCGATTCAGGATCGTCTGGACTCAACAATAGTAAAGTTTTGCAGCGTTGAAGTCCCAAGTGATGGTGTTTTGGCACGATTGGGGGTTCTCAGCTGGTTGTCTTCCAAAGGTGCACTTCCCGCAGTGAAAGAAGTTCGTTGGGGGACAGTTGGAGATGGAATTTGGAGGGAAGGTTTCTTGCAGCGTCGTTGGTGCGTCCTGAGCATACTCTGGTCCTCCACCTCCTCGTCTTGCTCCTCCTTCCCCTCCTCTGTCTCCTCCTCCAGCGATGTTTTATTTCCCCCCAGGCTGGTTGATTGGTTGGCTGGCTGGTTTGTTGGCTTGGTGGCTGGGAGACGTTACCAACGCAATTGGATGTTTCGGAGGCCTGCAGATGATGCGGTTGAAGACGGAGTCTGCAAGTTTCTGCATTCTAACGTCATTGCTTCAAATTGAGGGGCCCAGGGTGCAGGCACCTATTTCGAACGACGAGTTGTTTCGACAGGGTAGTAGCCAGCGAAGTACGAACAACGTTGCGCAGCGTAGCGAGGCCTGAGCAACGAAGAGACTTGTGTCAGCAACGCCGAGGAAGGGGCCAGCGACCCGATCGCACCCAGCAGGCGGCGGACCACATGCAACGAATGGTTACAGTATTGCGCCCCACGAGACCAGTTTGAAGGCCGCAATCGGAAAACATCAGAGAGGAAAAGCAAGCCAATTGTCGTGCGTGTCCAAACTAACGTTTGGGGGTAGACTTGGAGATTGGTAACCCACTTCGGCGCACAAGCTCGACATGTGAAGCACACCCACTCTTCAAGGTCGTACCTGACGGCGAAGCAGGAATGATCGCCGCAGTTATGTTCAATGCTTTGGTTTCCGTCACACATAGCTTCCCTGAAGCAGATGATTTGTTGTTCGGAAGACGCCGTTCGCCGCTTGGGTTGGTCCCGTTTGTCGGTCATGCAAAAGCATTCAGGACGGAGAGTGAGCGTCGTGCCGGACCTGAGGCGGCGATCGTGGGCATCCCGTTTGCCCTTTTTCGGCCTGGATCGGGAGTTCTGCACGTTCGCGTTGGAAGTCGAAGTTTGGGAGCCGCCGGAAATGCGACGGGTGGGCGTCGCGTTTCGGGAACAGCGGGTGGCGATGTTTGTCAAAGCGGCGGCGCGCACCCATGACCTCGCGGGCGCGGTTGTTCATGGTGGGGGAAGCGCACGTTGGGATCCCGGCCGCCGCTGGTGGCATCCAGCGGCGCCGGCGCAGCATGGCGACTCCGAGGGACGGCGAAGAGGACAGCGGCGGTGGGCCGCCCGCTCGTGGCGGCGCAGGCAGAGATCGAGGTGGGGAGCGCCGGTGCTCGCCGAAGATGTTTTGGCGACGGTTGCTCGCGGGATGGCGTCCTTCACCTCTCAAGCAGTGGCGAAGCGACTCGGCTCGCCTATAGCCCTACCAAACAATGTTCTAAGAACCTTTCTTGTGGTTCCCATGAAATGTTCTTAGAACAAGTCTGGCGGGGTCTGTCTTGTTTTATCACACTGGGCTTATGTTATAAGAACATTGTTTTTGTTATTAGAACATGTTTGGGTTCTAAGAACATTTCGTGGTAGGACTATAGGAATGCCAGGACGGTCGGTCCCTGCTCAAACCTCGATTCATGACCACGCTTGCTCTGGGCCGCGTGGCCTTCAACCACACCGGCAGCGAACGCGTCGCCTGTTCCTCGTTGGGTCTGGGTGTCATGATTGCGCGGCGCTGGAATGGCCGCGCGTCGTCGTAGTTGCACATAGCCAAGCAAACCGCAGTCGTGGGCGCGCAAGTGGAATGTGCGTGGGACCCCCTGGACATTCTGGACGTGCTGTTCGAGGTGAGCTGACGGGATGAACTTCGATGGCAGTAGACGCGCGGTCGGGCTTGCACTAGACGGCCAGCGGGCTGGCTCGATCTGCTTGGCCCAGACTTGCCCATTGTCTACCGATTGACCTGTCGTTTTCGTTGGATGCGCTGGTGGCAGTTCATGCCAGTGGAAAACGGCGTCAGCCGCAGCGTGGACGGGGCATTCATCGCCACATGTCCGTCGCCCCCCCTCTGAGAGGGAGAGGGGGTGGGACGAGGGCACAAGGGAGAGATAGAAGGAGGATAAAAAAGATAACGTGGACGAGGAATGCAAAGACGACAGAAGAGGGCTTGACGATATTAAGGCTGAGCCGAGGGATTGAGGTAAAGATAGGGAAAGGGGGGGCTACCGAGGAATGCGGCCGAACGCATATACAAAAGCCGAGCGGTTGAGTCCTCACGTGACGTCGGCTTGTTTGTTTGTTGACAGATGTCTCGTTGCACGCTTGATTCTGGACTTGCCCGCTTCGGGCGAGGGCGCCGCAAAACTGGCTACCACACCACCACGACGACCCTCCTGGGCTCCTTGCGATGGTGATTCCTGGTATCCGGCGTCGCGAACCAACATACAATCAGGAGGGAAAAAAAACACACAGACACAATTAATCATCGATCCCAAAGAAAATATTGGAACATAAAGGAATTGGGCGGGAAGACAAAAACCCAGAAAATATGGAAATATGGGGAGCCTTCTTATTTGTGTGTACTCATTTGTGTGTCCCAGGGTCCCTTCCTACAACAGCGCGAGCAGATCACGACCGGAGCCCCAGACCCCGCCTCTCGGTGGCATCCCTCGGGCCGGATGTCGATGCGTGATGCTCCCGGTGCCCGAACGCCGCCGAACACCTCTTGGTGCAGAAGCAGGCAGGAAAAAGACGGTTTTTTGAAGGCAGATTTGCCTTCAAAAAACCGTTCTTTTGAAGGCAGATCTGCCTTCAAAAAACCGTTCTTACAGAGCACACCAGCAAAACACGGATCCCACTTTCGCTGCCCCGCCGCCCCTCGGCCAGGCCGCCCTGGCGCAGGCGCCGGCGCGCGAGGCCTTCCTCTCGGCTCTGGAGCGCACGCTCGCCGCCTTCGGAGGCCGCGGCATCCTCGCGCCGCGGGGCGGCGGAAGGGGGGGGCGCCCGTCGAAACAATGGCGGACATCCTTGGCGTTGTTGCCCAGCCTTTCTGGGCCTCCAGGAGGCTTCTCGTCGCCACGGCCGTCTCTCGAAGATATAAACGTAAATCGTCGAAGGTCCGCACGGACTTCTTGGATCGGCGCTGGGCCCCCCTGGCGGCGCCTCCGGCGCCGGCCCTGGCGCCTCCAGCGCCGATCCGAGAAATCCGGGCGGAGTTCCGAGAGCTTTTGTAGATGCCGCCTCCTGTTCTTCCAGGTCCCGTTGCGGAAAGCAACGAATGTGAATGGACCCTGGGAGCGGCCTTTGGGGAAGAAAGGAGCAGCACGGACGCGGGGAGGGGCAGGAGGAGGACTGGTGTAATCACAGCGCGCATCACCGAGGGTGCGAGGCGGGGATTGGTCCATAATCACCGCCTGGGCGACCGACATATGGTGGATATGGGTACACTCAGGCCCCAGAGGGCCTAAGGATTTTTATATATATATATATATATACACACACAAGGCTGCATTAGCGCTTCGCGCCACGCACCTTGTTCCTTGAAGCTTTGGAGCGGTTGGCCTGTCGCGCCTTCTCTTTTCCCTTTGATGCGTACCCGCTCGCTCGTATCACGTAGAAGCGGGGGAAGGGGAGAAGGGGGCAGTCAACTTGGGACGGGGCAAAATTTGTAAGCCGGAGACCACGAGCGTACGAAGGGGCGTAAATGGAAATTGCTGCAGTCCTGGGTGCGCAACAGAATCCCACCAGCCCTCTGGGAGCTGGTGGTCCAGAGCGGCTCCTCTTCCACCTCCCTTCTTCCCTTTCGGGGAGGGGTTTACCACTTCACCTTTACCACTCCACCTACCCCCTCACCTGGACCTGGACGGGTCGCCCAAGACGGCCCCAAGAGGGCCTTAGAGAGCCCAAGATGGCGTCCAAGATGGCTCAAGATAGCGCAAGATGCCTCGAAATGGCTCCCAAGATGCTCCAATACGCCCCAAGACTGCCCCAAGACGGCTCTAAGTTGCCAAATGAGCTCCCCAAGGATGCCCCCAAGAGGCCAAAATCCTTCAAAAACCTGAGGAGAATCACTGTTTTTTGGCTTTCTCGCCTTTTCGCTTCCGATGGCCATCCGAGGCCTCAAGATGGCCCCAAGATGGCTCAAGAGGGCTCCAAGAGCGCTCCCAAGAGCGCTTCAAGAGGGCGCCAAGAGGCACCCAGGAGACCCCAGGAGGCCCCAACAGGCGCCCAAGACGCCTCCAAGAGGCTCCCAAGAGACCCCCAAGAGGCCCCAAGAAGCTCTGCGAGGCACCCAAGACGCTCTAAGAGGCGTCCCGGACCGCCAAGAGGCCCCCAAGACGCTCCAAGAGGCCTCCACTGGTGGACCCTTCCTCTGCGTGCTGCCCACATCCCTGATCGAGACAAACCCTCTGGGCATCGTTTCTGGATGGGCTGGTGGGGTTACGCGAAGCGTCTAGAATTTCCAGAAAAAATTGCGCACCTGGGGTTGTGGGCAAATTGTTGTTTTCCGCGATAGAATACCATCTGAGCGTGCGAGAACTCAGGGATCTACATAGGGGCCTGCCGAAGCGGTGTGAGGGCCTTGTGGCCCATCTCGGAACTACCTCGGATTGTCCCCGGAGCGTCTTAGGACTGCCGCTCGCCCGTTGACACGCTTGGGTGAACGTTGAGAAGGCGCCTTGGAGAGCTGGAATTCCTGGGTGGCCCTATTGAGGAGCGTCCAGACGGTGTCCCCAGGCTGTCATGGAGCCGCCTATGGGCAGTTTGGGAGTCGTCTAGGGTGGCGCCTTCCTACAGAGTGAGGATGCTGATTTGGCTCGTGTTGGGGCCTCCCCTGGCCGTCAGGGCGCCGCCCATGGGCAGTTTGGGGGCCGTCCCGGGCCATCGTGGTGCCGCTTTGGGGATTCAGGAAGCGCGTTTGGGGTTTAGTTGGAGCGGTGTTCGGAGCTTTGACAAATGTTTTCGGACGCCCGGCAGGCCGAAGGAACGAATGGTATTAGTTCTTACAACATCATTGAAACATCAGTGTTTTTCAGGTTCAAGCGCGTCTTGGAGGTACCTGTCGTGTCGCTTCCGGGCATCCGACGGGGGCCAAGGCCAACTTGATGCCATTTTGGACCGTCTTGGGCGTGTCTTGGGCCTTCCGCCAGCCGCCTTGAGATCAGTTTGGGGCGGTCATGAGGCCGCTTGTGGGCAGTTTAGGAGCCGCCTTGGGCCCCCGCACAACTTTTCTGGAGTCGGGAAAAATTGTCGGTGCCTCGCCTGCGTTCCCGGACGCCTGGCAAGCCGAATGAGGACATAGTCAAACAAAATATACAAAAACCACAGAAAATCAAGCTTCTCAAGGTTTCGAGCGCCTCTTGGAGGTGGCGTTCGAATCGCCTTAGAGCATCCAACAAGGGCCTGGACCGCATGATGCCATCTTGGACCATTTGTGGCGTCTCTAAGGCCTTGCGCCAGCCGTCGTGGGGTCAGTTTTGGGCGGTCATGGGGACTCGTGTGGGCAGTTTGGGGACCGTTTCGGGCGCTCATGGAGCTCATTTGGGCCGTCTAGGAGCGGTCGCCAGTGCGTTTCTAACGTTCTCGGACGCGTGGAAGGCCGAATTGGCGAGTATCCGAAAATCATATAAAAAACATATGAAACATCAATGTTTTTGGGGTTCGGACGCTTCTTTGGGATGACATTGGGGTGATCTTCGGGCATCCGGCGGGGGTCAAGGCTAGCTGGATGCCACCCTTGACCGTCTTAGGTGGCTCTTGGGCCTTTCGCCGATCGATTTAGGACTGCCACCCGCCTGCGGGCACGCCTTGGCAAGGATTTCCGGCCCCCCCCCGTGCCACGGATCCGGCCGGGGGGTCCCGTTTCGGGGGGGGGGTCGCACCCCCCCGGATTTAACCTCCTCCTCCTCCTCCTTCTCCTCATCTCGGGGGAGAAGAGTAGGGGGGGAGGAGTAAAAGGAGGAGACGGAGGAGGGTGTCCGCGGGGGCCGAACGGGAGACCGAAAAACAGGAAAGAAAGGAAAAACAATAAAAAGCTTTGCTTTCACAGGGAAAAAAGAGGAAACAACTCCGCCTCCGAGGGCGGGGAGGAGGAAAACTAATAAAAAAAACTCTCCTCCGTCTCCTCGAGAAAGAGGAAAAAACTTCGCCTCAGAGGGCGGGGAGGGCGGAAAAAGGAAAAAAACGCCCTGCCCTTGTCTGTTTTCTCCATTTGGGTAGACGGGGGAGGAGGAAGCGGAGGAGTAAGCGGAGGAGACGGAGGAGGGTGTTTTTTCCTTTTTTCCCTTCTCCCCGCCCTCGGAGGCGGAGTGTTTTTTTTTTTTATTGGGAAAACACAAGTGTTTCAATTTTGTGTTCCCCACATGTTTCGTGGGGTTATGGTTTTCTTCCCTGCCGCTGCGCACCCGCGTCTCCTCACCTCCCCTCCTCCCCTTCTCCTTCTCGCAGCTCAGCTCAACTCAACACAGCACAGCACAGCACAGCACGGCACAGCACAGCACAGCTCACCGCACAGCAGCACAGCACATCACAGCACAACGCCACAGGGGGTGCGCTGGGGGTGGGGGCCCTATGCGTTGTAGGCTCCCAGGGCGTGGCAGGCGTGGCATTTCCTGGGCGCCGCAGGGGGTGCGCAGGGGGTGGTCTCTCACCGCGGCCGCTATCCGTGACGGTCGTCCAGGGCACAGCAGGCATGGCATATTCTCGACACCATAGGGGGTGCGCAGGGGGTGGTCTCTCACCGCGGCCGCTATCCGTGACGGTCGTCCAGGGCACAGCAGGCATGGCATATTCTCGACACCATAGGGGGTGCGCAGGGGGTGGTCTCTCACCGCGGCCGCTATCCGTGACGGTCGTCCAGGGCACAGCAGGCATGGCATATTCTCGACACCATAGGGGGTGCGCAGGGGGTGGTCTCTCACCGCGGCCGCTATCCGTGACGGTCGTCCAGGGCACAGCAGGCATGGCATATTCTCGACACCATAGGGGGTGCGCAGGGGGTGGTCTCTCACCGCGGCCGCTATCCGTGACGGTCGTCCAGGGCACAGCAGGCATGGCATATTCTCGACACCATAGGGGGTGCGCAAGGGGTGGTCTCTCACCGCGGCCGCTATCCGTGACGGTCGTCCAGGGCACAGCAGGCATGGCATATTCTCGACACCATAGGGGGTGCGCAAGGGGTGGTCTCTCACCGCGGCCGCTATCCGTGACGGTCGTCCAGGGCACAGCAGGCATGGCATATTCTCGACACCATAGGGGGTGCGCAGGGGGTGGTCTCTTACCGCGGCCGCTATCCGTGACGGTCGCCCAGGGCACAGCAGGCATGGCATATTCTCGACACCATAGGGGGTGCGCAGGGGGTGGTTTCCCACCGCGGCCGCTATCCGTGACGGTCGTCCAGGGCACAGCAGGCATGGCACATTCTCGACACCATAGGGGGTGCGCAGGGGGTGGTCTCACCGCGGCCGCTATCCGTGACGGTCGTCCAGGGCACAGCGGTATCGGCGGGGCAGTGGCCACCAACATCATTCTCACATGCTTGATTTCAGCTCTCATCATGTCATCCATGATAAAGGTATGTGGGGTTCCTCGGTAGCGTAATTGTTTTTCCCTGTTTTTCGCTCCCCCCCTGGGGCGGCGGGGAAACCTTGAGGGGCCGAACGGGAGACAGACAAACATTTAAAAGATTACAAATATGAAATACAATTATGTTTTTCACCGGGAAACCAATGAAAAAAACTCCGCCTCCGAGGGCGGGGAGGAGGGAAAAAATGAACAAAAACAAAAAAAAAAAAAAAAAAAAAAAACTCCTCCGTCTCCTCCGCTTACCCCTCTCCCCCTTCTTCCTCCCCCGTCTCCCCAAGTGGAGAAAACAGACAAGGGCAGGGCGGTTTTTTCCCTTTTCCACCTTCCCCGCCCTCTGGAGAAAGTTGTTCCTTTTTCTCGGGGAGACGGAGGAGA